GACCCATTTTTTTGCAGATATACTGGATGGATGAGAGCAAAGACTGCAAATAGCAAGCAATTTCCTTAATCAATTAGTAAGATGATTGTTTTTGTAATTAATTAATTAGTCTATGACTATATTTCAGCAATTTCCCTGAGGTTTCCACCAAAGGAATCAATAAAGTTCTATTCTATTCTATTCTATTCTATTCTATTCTATTCTATTCAAATAAAACACTTGTCTGTTGCCATTTTAATTGTTCTGCTTTTTTAAGCCAACCAGCTAAAACTTGAACAATGTAGTTTACAATGACACTGGCCAAAGCAGGAATTAGAATTAGAAATATTTAGTAAATTGTCACTATTTTTGTTTGAGGAATCAATGAAGCAGTTAATACATTATCAAAATTGTTGGCATCTATGTACATCTAGCTATGCTTCTTTTTATTGACTTTCCAACTCAGCTTCAGTAAGAATGGAATTTGAATTGCGGGCCACAATTTTGTGTCCAGAGTTGTTTTTTATAGCAAGTTCCTCAAATATTTTCCAAATCCTGGGTAGAATTGCAATTTCTATATCCATGCGCTTTTCTAGAAGTTTAATTAATTGCTCTGATGTTTGAACATGTAAAACAGTGTAAACAAATTGTTTTTCATTCCCTAGATAACCTTTAAGAACGAGGTGGGCCAGTATGACCTGGAGGTGACCACCTTCCAGCTGGCTGTGCTGTTTGCCTGGAACCAGAGGCCGAGGGAGCGGATCAGCTTTGAAAACCTTAAGTTAGCTACGGAGCTGCCCGATGCAGAGCTGCGACGCACTCTCTGGGTAAACACCAGCGATAAATGAAGATAAAACTGTCCATCAAGTGTTGAAAGTTGGCTCCATCGTGGCTGTCAGCAAGTTCATATTCCTGAGTTGCAGATTTAGTAAACTGTATTGCACTGAGTTTTCTAACTTGGGTAACTTGTTTTGTTTGATTTATCTGATTTTTGTGTTTTCTCCCTAAAACTTTGCTCCATCCTCACAGTCGCTGGTGGCGTTTCCCAAACTCAAGCGGCAGGTGTTGTTGTACGACCCGGTGGTGTCTTCACCCAAAGACTTTGCAGAAGGAACACTATTCTATGTCAACCAGGAGTTTTCTCTCATGTAAGGAGCTTTAAAACAGATACAACTGACTTTTCCTTCCAGTCTTGCTTATTGGCTTTTTAAGTTGAAACATAGAGGAATTTTATCAGGAATTTGCAAATAATTATACATCAGCTTTACTACTGAATTTTTGTATCTTTATTTCTTTAGTCACAGGAAATGAAAACAATTGGACAATGCTTTCACCTGGGTGTCTCCTTCAAAGTTTGATTTGCAATTAAACTTAAGAGAGTATTTAAGTTAACTTTCCTGATAGAAGTTCCAATGTGCTTATTCCCAGTGAGCCAGAAAATAACTTTTGTTTGCAGTGTACATTTTACTCAAAATTACACAAAAGAAACTGGACTGGTTGAGTGCAGGAGGTGGTGCAGAGGTTTTGTTGTTGAGTTTTAAACTCTTGACGGGGGGAAACTTAAAGTCTTTATGGTTGGTAGATTCCTCCGTTATTTTTAAACTGAGTCAGTTTTATTTGTATATGATAACATCACCAAAACCATTTCGGCAAAAAGACTTTTGTGAGTGACTGTGGTGATTTGTAGATGTTGCTTCATGCTTGTGACACATACTGTAGATTTACTTAGTTACTTACTGTAGAAACCGTACACCTGTACACTGACCCACATTTGCATTATGAATTCAACTTGACAGAAAAAACTCAAAGGTTCAGAAAAGGGGGAAGATTAACCTGATTGGTCGGCTGCAGCTCACCACGGAGCGAATGAGAGAGGAGGAGAACGAAGGCATTGTCCAGCTCAGGATACTAAGAACACAGGTACGGAGATGAGCTCACAGCATGCAGGTAGAGATACTGCTGCTCCCTCCTACTGTGAACAATTGGTTTCCCACCACAGAGATTTGGCAGACATCTCTGGTTAGATTTGTATAAACTTACGGGCAATATTGTAATCCATCTGTCTCACAGCGCGCTTTCTGACCTACTTTTTTGTTATTTTTCCACACCTCTCCTTTCGTTTCCCACATCCAGGAGGCCATAATCCAGATCATGAAGATGAGGAAGCGCATCAACAACGCCCAGCTGCAGACGGAGCTGGTGGAGATCCTAAAGAACATGTTTTTACCACAGAAGAAGATGATCAAGGAGCAGATCGAGTGGCTGATAGACCACAAGTACATAAAGCGGGATGAGACGGATATAAACACCTTCATCTACATGGCATAGCACAGCACATTAGGATGACTTGTGTTGACTTTGGTTTCAGTGGATCAGGCCTGATGGACACTAGAATACTTCCAGGCTCCCCGTCCTCTATTTAAAAAACACAAAAACAAAACAAAAAAAAATTCAAATCTTGTGCAGGGAGGCATGAATTTAAGACTGAGACCTATTTACAAAAAAAAGTGGAACTTCCTGCCTTAAAGTTGTATAAAGAAAAAAGATAAATGCAGTGGGAGTCTTCACCAAGTGGTCATAACTGTTTTTAGTTGAAGGGAGTTTCCTTTGCTGTCCAGATGAGGCTGTTAATTGTGAATGGTCTGTTTTTGATGCCATGGTGTGTCATCTGGGCAGCTACTACGACACTCCTGCTTGCACAAGTCTAAAGGCATGCTGACAGGAAAAGCTGAGGAACTCGAAATATCTGCAGTCCAGTTTTAATCCACGTCAAATCCAGATCATCTGAATCTTGAACAAAACGCTGCCCTTGTCCTCCGAAAAGCAACGCTGCTATTACCCAGCCAGTTGGTTTTATCACGGGGGCCCTGACTCTCTGCAGTCACGGTTAAAGTGATCAAACACTTAATCCGGACATTCAAAGTGTATAAAAAGCCAGATAAACACTTCACAGTTTGCAGGACTGAACCAGACGGCAATGTAGAGCCAACCGAAAAGCCTCTGTCCCTGGGTCAAAGTGAGAATGTGGGGAAAATTAGCATATTGCTAACATCCGGAATCAGAGTCCCTTTACCAAATGCACCCAGGGACAGAGGTGGAGTTGGAATCGCACTGGGAGCTCAGCTCAAGTTTGCAACAGTCCTCTCTTCTGCAGGAAGCCTGGGAGAGGAGGCTGAGGTCAGTATTACATGTGGTAAATACTACAATTGAAAGCTGTAAGAGAGTGTACCATGAGATGTGAATAATGAAATGATTAAATAAACAGCACCTTATTATAAAAATACATGCAGGCTTGTCATGCGTCTTAGTTCTGGCAAAAAGCCTCAGGAGAAGTTTTAAAGAAGCATTTTCATATACATTGTCACGCTTTTACACAGTGCAGAGGGCCAAAAACTTGATCCCCCCCCATTTTTATGAAACAAAAGGTACAAATACTTGCCAAGCTTATGAGGGTCATTCGAAAGAAAACCACAAGCTTTGATGTCGGGCTTTGTATTTATAATAGAGGTTTTCAGAACAAGAATAGCCATCTGTGTGGTCTGGACAAAGCCTGTAAATACACTGAAAGTCTAAATATGTTCCTCTTCATAGTAGTTTTCCATCCAAGCTGGCACTGAGCAAATGCTAAATCTTTTTTTTTTGCCCTCAGTTTTAAGGGGATTATTTTTACATTGTCTTTTAACTGATTACTTTTCAAAAACAGCACATGTTCAGAGGATGCTTATATCTTCAGCCAAGCATAAGGAGACCTGCTGTGTAAGTTTCTGAACAGCTACCAATTGTTTTATTATCTCAAAGTATAATGGGCCACATGGTTAACATTTCACCACTAATACTTTACTTTAGCCCATTTGAAAGGAATGTATAAATATTTATACATGGGTTATAAAACAGTTGTAAGTAGATCCTGTATTATATTTACAAAGTTGTGACCTATTATCTGTCAATACATCAGCCTCCACTTATAAATACCTACAGTGGGAGTCTAAATTATTGACAGTTATGTTAACAAACACATATCTGCTTTGGTTTATAAAGCATTACACCTTTACAATTAATATAATGATAATCTACAGGATATGATGTGCATCAGCTAAGTACTGAATGAATTAACCCTCTGAATTCAAGCAGTTTCTCTGCGTCTTCTTGCGTCCCATTCTTACTCACTGTTGGCCCTATTTTATTTTTATTTTTTTCCAACAATGTGAAGTCCTGCACTTCTATGGAAATGGCACAGCAATGGCTAGAACTAGAAGTTTTAACCTCATATTTGGTTAATTTTCCAGCCTGAACTGCAGGGAGAGGATGTGTTCAGGTGCTGACACAAAGTTGAAAACCTGATGATTTTTTCAGTCTTCATTTTTTTTCTGGCTCTGAAAAATGGTGTTCGTTTGGAAAAGTTAAAAAGATATATTCTTGTCTTTCAAACCTGCCAGAAGGTTTTGGGGATCAAAAGGTTTAAAGACTGTAAAGTGTATTAAGTCAAGTGCAAGTCAAGTTTATTTATGAAACACATTTAAAACAGGAGTTGAACTAAAGTACTGTACAATTATAAATAGCAAATCATAGGATAAAAACACCATGACCAAAAGACAAATCTGAATAAAAACACAATAAAATGAAGAAAATTAAAAGATACAACACAGTAGAAGATTAAGTCAGTGGGTCAAGCTCTACTTGGATGGAATGCCAAAGAAAAGCAAGCACTAATTAGCACTGAACACCAGACATACATGAGGCTGATTATTAATGTCATTAATTTACAGGTTTTTGGACACTGGACAAAAGGTAATGGGTAGCTGAAGTTGTATTTTTTATTTAATTATTTTTTGACAATTCAATCCATGGATGTTCAAAAGTTTTACTGTGGTGGTTGCAAGAAAATCATGGATAACCAACATCATCTGGGAACTATCACTGTCCTTAAAATTTAAGTTAAAATATTTAGGATATTCTGGATGAGTTAAAACTTTGACCTATAGGTGGCGCTAAAGTCAGAGCTGTAAAATATAGCAGGTGGATTGTGGAGGTATTTGACTGTTATGTTTCCTCAAGGACATGCTGCTAGTTTGGCTGTTAATAACTCAAACGAATAGCTGCTCGTGCATAAAGAACAATTTACTTGAAAAAAGGTCAATTAAAAGTATATTTTGTAAACTTTTTAAAGTCTGCAGTATTTTTTCTAAGTTGCACCACTAATCCTGGGATTCTTAATGGCATGTCTCAAGAAGCTTTTCAACTCTGTAAACAAAAATAGTATTTTTTTTTCACCCTTAGATGTCATTTCATTGAAGCAACCACAGCATTAAATCTGTGGTGGCTGGCCAGCAGATGGAGCCAAAGCTTTAACAAAGGAATGTGGAACAAGTAGCAGGTGCACATACATTTCAGGTAAATGAGGAAGCATTGTTATATATACATATTATCCAGCACTCTAACATTCTTATTGTCATTAATGTCAATAATATTCAAATAATGCAGTCAGATATCATTGACTTTTATATATATATATATTCTTTTGATACTTCAACTGTTTTTTTTTTTTGCCAGGTACTATTACTTAATTGAATTTTAGAATTTAGGAGTTACAGTGTGATATTTCTGCTTTATTTAGGACAGTTATTTTCGTTGATAATATTGACGATTCATATTATGTCCTATGTTTTTTGTATGGATACACAATTGTATTAAAAGTATTTTGAGGCCCAGAAAAAAAAGCTAATATCCACACTAATTGTCAGATTGTAGGTCAGAAACTTTACTAGTATGTGAAATAAGATTTCATGAAGCTGTTGTTTTCTGGCAGTAGACATTTAATTAGTTTAGTTGTGCTTTTATCACGTCTTGTTTATGGTATATGATATTTTTATTTGTGAGCTGAAATATGAAATAAAAACCGGTGGAGTTTATTTTTTAGCTTTAGGTGTTGCATACAGCAGGAGGTTACACAAGTAAAAGGCCGTAATTAGGCGGATAGTTTTTTCTTAATTACAGCATATTGCGTCCTCTTCTTATTTGTAACAAAGGGGATTACAGCAGGCCTGTTAGGTGGGCGCATGCGCACTGCAGCTGAAGCGAGGACCACAGTCATGGAGGCAAAAATAACACTTCCTGTTGTTACTGACAAAATAAAAGGGTTCGAGGACCGTTTTGAATAGTGTTATTTTAAGAGCTGCATAGTTAGTTATAACCTGCAAAATGCATCCCTCTACAGCCAAAAAAATATTGATTTCCCGCACATAGATAGACTGATAGTAAATCATCTCAATTATGGTACACGTTACTTTTTTTTTCTACCTGGGAATTATTTTGACTTTTATAATAAGCATTTTTATATAAGTGCGCTGCCGCAGCTTGACGCTCTCTGGGTGAGGAGGAGAAGAGAGAGGAGGAGAGAGGAGCTCCGCCAGAGGACCAGTGAGAGCGTGGTGAGGAATCCCAGCAGCCCCCGGAGAGAGAGAGCTGGACCAGGCTGGACCCCCCCACCCCCGCCCCCGGAGGAGGACCCGAGAGAGACCCACGTTGCCACGGGAGAGGCCTCGGTTCAGGTAACTGCGCTGTGAAACCGGTTCCCGCTGCTTTCCCCGGGTGGGCAGGTGCATTTTGACGGGCTTGCTGGAGATGGAGAGGCGGCGGTCGGAGAGGCGCACGAAGCGACGGGTTAAATCTCGGGAGATCCGAGATCCTATTACTTACTTACCGTCTGATTTATACGGCTTCGGTGCCCGGGGTTGCTGAGCAGATAACGGGAGGTGACGCTGGGGCTGAGAGGGAATATTTATCTCACCACCGTATTGCACCGGTGTGAGATGAGCGTTTTACTTTGCGCAAAAATTGCGGCATATATCATACATCTGAGATATTACAGCCGCTGCTCCTGCTTTGTTGTATTTCTGTGCTGCTGTGCTTGAGTTTTTCTCTCCTACAATACATTAATTGGGTTTGGCAAGGCGGGGTTTATACTACAGCTGGCTAGATATTCCAGATTTTGTTTCCATGATTCCAGCAAAGATAAAACCACAGTTGCTGTATATGGGAGCCATATCTGAGAAATAATGTGAGGGGAGCATTCAGGACCTAGCTCTGGACTAAAGAGTAATGTCAGTCATCGGTAAAGGCTTCTTCTGGAAAATGAAAGGCTTTGTAAGTTTTGATATCCAAAAGGGACTTTCTGTGTGATGTCCTGGAGCCTGTTTTCCTCTGCATGGGGAGCAATAAAATAATAATTTTACAAGTATATTGTTCTGCAGAGTACCAAGAGGGGACTGGAGGCACATTAATAGTGTATGCCTACGAATAAGCCCAGGTTTAGACTGCCTACTGGGTATAATTGCCAAAGTGGAGGTAAACTGACAGTAAAATTGACAGATATTGTCACAGAAATACTGTTCTACTCCCAATATCTGCCCAAATACACGTGAAAATTCAACCATACTCCACTTTATGTGAGATAAAAATGTTTAAACCTTATAGTTGCTCATGAATATGTGCCTGTTTGACGTTATTGTTTGTTAGAAATAGAAAAAATAAGACTTAAATCCCAACCTAAATATATCTGCTACTCATTGGATGCGAATGTAACTCTGATATTGAGGCAAAATAGTGTGTTATGATATTCCCAGAGCAAAAAAAAAAAAAAAAATTAACTTGATATTTGGTAAGTGCAGCAGTTAAAAGTGCAAAATTGAACCTGAGTGGACTTTGAGTACAAGTGTCGAGTGTCAGAGCCAAGCCTACTGTAGCTGGCATCAGGAAGAGATACTGCAGAGAGGAGATCACGATGCTTGGAGGATGGGAAGCTGGGATTGCCCTCCTCCCTGATGCAGGAGAGGGTGGAGGGGAGGGTGGATGAAGGATGGTCTGGCGCACCCCTCCCTCCCTTCTTCCCTCTCTCTCTTTTCTTTCTCCCACTCTATCTGTCTTTCTGTCTCTCTTGGTGGTATACTGGTGCATTACTGCTCCCTCTTCACTTCTGAGTATAATCAGTCTGTCAGCAGAAGCAGACTCAATCAGTCACTTCCCCCAACACCACCAACACCCGGAGACACTCGGCCCTGATCTCTGACCAGAATATTACCACAGCAGCTCCATTACCATAGCTGCTTCCTGCTCTGTGCATTACTTTTGTGAACAGTTATAGTTGTGATTGCAAGCAGGGGGAAAAAAATGTTTTTCTTGACAACAAATCACTGTAATATTATTTTAAGTGTGGACATGGTTCTCTTAATCTGTCACTGATGGTATAGCTATTATAGCATATAATATTCACGCAGGAGTCTCAGT